TCAGCACAAAATAATTATAAAAAGAGGGGGAAATTTTGGTTTTAATTTATAAAATTTATAGCACTATTGATTTTTTTTTTTCTTTTACAATACATTGAAATGACCAAAAAGTATAAGAAAAATAAAAGAACAAAACTTCTGTTTGAAAAAAAATTTGGTGATGACGGACATGTGGCCTTAGGCAAACGCGTCAAGGTTTCCTAAATTCCCCCAAAATAAAATATTTAGGTGGCGACTCTGTATCTGGCAAAGCTGTCCATATTTGACATTTCTTTCTAAAAATCTGTTTTTCAAAACGATTTGCCGGATTTGGACTCTTTGGTGATTTATCAATCTCACATCGCATATTGTGAGATCAGATTAAGAACCCTGACAATTTGAGTCCGAACTGTAGTGAGCCCCAAACGAACAAAACGGGGTATTTCCTCCCGGGACGTTCGGGAACGTCTACAATCTCCCACTTTCACAGTCAAGGTTGATAATGGAGAAGGGAAATTAGTTCTTTCCCAAGAGTTATCGCTCCAAAATCCATCACTTGTAAAGCTATGGGTGGGTGCTATTTATAGGCACCTCATGATGTAGGATGGAGCCCATGTACAAGGCACATGGGGAATATTCTCTCTAACCACCTTGTCCGAGGAGGTGACCTCTCCGAGGATGAGAAAAACCCCGAAGAGGAGATCAACCTCTTGGCGATAACTCTTGGGAAAGAACTAAAGGGTCAGGGGTAGTCCCAGAGAACGCCCTGCCGTAGAAGGGTCTGGAGTAGTTCAAGAGAACGCCCTGCCGCAAATATTGTCGAGTCTCAGGGACCCTCTAAATCGTGCCACCTCGACCCGGGTATAGGCTAGTTTAACCGAAGAGTGAATTTATCTCCACTCACCGTCCTCGGGATCGGGTCGTTTGTTCGGACTCCATTACGCTCATGGTTCTGGTACGTAGATCTCGGAAAGCTCCAAGTCCGCAAGTGTTCTAGGACTCATTAATGGAGCGGCTTCTAGATTGCATCTGAATCCGTTCGAAGCCAAGTGCTTCGGATTTCTAGGTTCGTGGATCTGAACCCTTTCGAGGCTTACAACGATTTGGCCCGTTTGATGGCGGTAAATCCGGGCCTACCAATCTTGGACTTGCGATAAATTCGGGTCCACTAACCTTGGACTATTGGACCTAATTAATTTAGTGGGTTCAAATTAACTCCTCTTACACACTATAAAGAGTTTAAATAATCATAATAGATTTGAAAAATGCCCCCACGATTCACAACACTCTCCTTTGTTCTCATATTTCTACTCGAAGTTAATGAAATTTTAAAAAAGGCAACTATGGCTTCGCAACACTCTCCTTTGTTCCCATATTTCTACTCGAAGTTAATGAAATTTTAAAAAAGGCAACTATGGCTTCACAACACCCTCCTTTGTTCCCATATTTCTACTCGCAGTTAATGAATTTTTAAAAAGGCAACTATGGGAGATGGTTTTCTTCCAGGAAAAACAAAAGGCTACAACATTTTTTTAGGATAAATTCAATTTTTTTTAAAGATTTAATGAAAAAAACATAGAAAATAAGAATTAGAGTGTGTTATATTTTATTTATTTATATTGTGAAACAACAAAGGTGGATTGTCCGCTATAATACAGGAGGGGATGTGGACCGTTAGATATGAGGAAGATAGATCAAGACCATTGAGCGAGAGGGTAGGAAATGAGTACTTTAGAATTTTCTTGTGATGACGTTTTTGCTTCTATTGGTTTATTATTATTAGGGAGATATTACAATGTACACTTTTAAAAAAGTGCATATGGTGTATTTTTTATAATTTTTTCATCATAAAAATCATAAATTTTTTTTTACTGTAAAATGTCATAAAAAAAACACATGAAAAGTGGTCAGCCACTATAAATAGATAGACAGACACATGAAAAATAACATAGAATTCTTGAAAGTAAGATGATTTTTCAAAATAAAAAGCCTAAGTTCGACCTTCAGTACCATTCAACAAGGCACAATTAACCGAAAATATTTTTCACGAAGCATCTGGCAATAGGCTATTATAGTAAAAAAATTAAAAAGTTATTCCTTCTTATCCAATCTATTTTTTTTTTAATTTTTCCTAAAAAATTAAAAAGTCAATTTCAAAACACTTTTTTTTTCACGTCTTTTAGTCAAAAAAAAAATAAAAAAATCACTTTCCCAACCAACCTTCAATATATCAGGATGGTTTGGTACAACCTATTTGAGTTGCTTATTACATTTTTATTCTAAAATTTATACTAAACTATTTGTACAATTTCCCTTTATAACTTATATAAAAACAAAAACAAAAAAACTAGATGAAAGGATACTTTTGACTTGCAGCAAGCATCAAAAAACTAAACACTTAGATGAAAGGATACTAAACTATTTTATGAAAGATGATTCTAGAAAACTAAACACTTAGATCTATGTTTTTTGGTACAACAAATGGATAGGTAGATTACTTTATATATTCATTGGGGAAAATTGTTTCTTAACGCCTATACAGTGAATTTCACCACATTTAGGTCATGGCTGAAGTTAAGATCTTTGTATTTTGAATGTGTTGAGAAAGTGAGTTACGGAGACTCAAAACAAAACCTTGAGTGAGAAATTTAAAGACCTTTTCACTTAGGTCTTTTTTGGCAATGTGTAATTTATTGATTTATTAATTTATTAGGATGCGCGTTATTGGGATTTGCTTATTTTTTGACTTTTTTTTTTTGGTTTTTTTTGCTTATTTCGTCTTTAATGAACTTTTTAAAAAAATTTCAAAAAGTCTTAACCTTTTAAATTTAGCTAGATAAAACGAATTAAAAAATTATAATTTTTTTAAAAAAAAAAAGTTCAAAAAAATCCAAATAAGACAAAAATATATAAGTAAAAAACAATAAATTTATCTTGTTTTTGTTTTTTTAAATTTTTTTTTGAATTTTTTTTTTAAGATATGTACATTTTAGATTCATCTCGGAAAGAAAGATCGACAAAAATAAAAAAAAAATTTAACATAATTAAAAAAAATTAATAATAATAATAAAAAAAATAAGAGTTTTTTAAAATGATTTTTTTTTAAGGTCCCTGGTATTAAGATTTTATAGCGTAAAGGACACCCAATATTTTCATAATGTTTAAGGTCCCTCAACATCAATCTAAAGAAAATTCGACTCAGAGAATTTCTCTGGACTTCCCAGAGATTTTCTCTGCATTTCCTAAAGAATTTCTTTAGATCTCCTATAGATTTTCTCTCCAGAGAAATTTGTGTTAGAATCAACCAGAGAAAATTGATCAAAAAAGAACCTCAAGATCAATATATACCTAATCATTATCAAACCAGAGAAAATCCATTCAAAATCACATTTTTCATTTTTTTTCCCTTTCAATATATGAGCAACTAAACAAATTAATAGAGAAACTGAAGCAACCAAGTATCAAAAATAAACAAACATATCCTAAGTTTTCTAGAGAAAATTTGCACAATGACTAAATCCAGAGAAAATTCACACAATAGCCAAACTCAGAGAAAATTTACACAGTGACTAAATCCATAGAAAATTCACATATAATCTGCATAAACCCCCAAAATCTTTGAGTAAACAATCACCACTCTCATTATCTCCAAACTTGAACAAAATTGTTAATTTTTGAAATTCCAACTTGAACAAAATTCACAGAAAAAATCTCACCAGAGAAATTCACATCAGCCCAAAGAAATTCTTCAAAACCAGAGAAAATCTCACCTCCACCTCAGAGAAAATCACTCAAACCAGAGAAAATCTCCCTCTCCAACCCAAAGAAATTCCCCCTCACAATCTTTTTTGGTTAAAAATCATAAACTTCAGCCAAAATGTGTTCCATGGTTCACACATTGGCTCCAAAGAGAAAATTTTCAATTTTGTTGAAAAAATCGCTAATGCAGAGAAAATTCAAAGTTAGAACCATAAATGCAATAAGAACAATCAATTTGGAGTTCAAAAGTAGATTCCAAACCCAGAGAAATTTTGATTTTGTTGAAAAAATTGCTAATGTAGAGAAAATCCAATACCAGAGAAATTTAAACAATAAAAACCTACTAGAAAAATTTGAACAGAGAATTTCTCTGGGTTCAAACTAAAGAAAAGTAAAATTTCTCTGAATTCAAACCAGAGAAATTCTCTCAAGCTAGAGAAAATTCACAAACAATTATCACAATCAGAGAAAATGCAAAGAAATTTGACATCTTTGCCATATAAAATGCAGTACAAGTTTTGACATCTTTACACCCTTATTTTCCTCTTATTCAATATAGTAACAACAAGAGAGATTTTCCATTGGCGTCAATGGCTTGAATTACATATCCACCATCCATCAATGTGAATTACTGGGAGAGTGAGGATTTGAGTGGCACCTCAAACAACAATTAACAATCAACAAATTTGCAATTTCTTTTCCATCTCCACAAATTACACAACCCAGCTATCCCTCCAAACCTTCTCAACAAAATCACATTATATTCGAATTTGATGAGGAGATCCTGTGTGATTTGAACAATATCTGGACCAGATCTTGACTTTCTAGCCAGATCTCAACTGGTGTTGATGGAATGTCACACCTGTGACAATGACGGTGATGGTGAGTGTGAGTTCCGCTCTGTCGAATTCTATTTGAGGGCCAAACAGAGGTCTCTCTCTCATCTTATTCTCTTTTTCTCACAACTAATGTTGCTGCCAATGTCGACCACCATGTTGCCGATGACCTGATTAGTCAAATTCCTTCGTAGAAGAAACCCTAATCTGTTTCTCTCTATACATACATACAAATGGGCAGTAGAAGCAAAATGAAGCAACATTCAGAAGACACAAAATTTTTTGTGATATATGAGTTTGGGATTGAGAGATCTTAAACATCATAAAATAATATTGTAAATTTCTTTCATTACTAAAAATAGGAGAGAAATCTAAGATTAATTTTTCCTTTTTTAAAATGTTGCCTTTGGGTCCTATACGTGTGGAACATTCGAAAAACTTCTAGTGGGTACAGATTCTTGCCTCTGTCGAAAGAAAATTTGATTGCAACATAAAGGCAAGGCATCCCCAAACGATGCCACCACTCTTTCACCACCGGCCACCTCTCTCTCTCCGCCACCCTCACCTCCTCCTCCTCCTCCCCACCACCACAACCACCACCACCACAACCACCCCGAAAAAAGCCCCTACTCTCACCATGTCGCTGTCTTCATCACCATCACCATCACCATCACCATCCATAGAAGAAGACTCAGACAAACAACAAAAGCTGTCACTGAACCAGATCATCAAGTACCACAACCAGACCAAACACTCCTTCACCAACTACGCCAGAGGTCCTCACGGCCTCGATTGGGCGAACCAACCCAACCCATTTCGCCGCTACCTCTCTTCCCCTCTCTTCCCTCTCCTCCACTTCCCCACCACCCCCGAAGATCCCAACAACAACCCTTCATCGCCCACCGACTCTCCTCTCTACTCCTCCGTCTTCCTCTCTCTTCCTTCTCCAAAACCCATCTCCAATTCCACCATTTCTCAGCTCTTCTTCGACTCTCTCGCTCTCTCGGCTTGGAAAACTACTGGGTTTTCAACCTGGTCTCTTCGTGTAAACCCTAGCAGCGGCAATCTCCACCCAACCGAGGCATATCTCATTTCCCCTCCGATCGATTCGGTCTCCAATTCGCCTTTTGTTGCACATTATGCTCCCAAAGAGCATTCATTGGAGATTAGAACCCATATCCCATCTGGGTTTTTCCCCAAATTCTTCCCGCAAGGTTCTTTTCTTATCGGGTTTTCGTCAATTTTCTGGCGTGAGGCTTGGAAATACGGCGAAAGGGCATTTCGGTATTGCAATCATGATGTGGGTCATGCCATTGCTGCGGTTTCAATGGCCGCAGCAGGGCTTGGTTGGGATGTGAAGATTCTAGATGGTTTGGGTTATGGGGATTTGGAGAAGCTTATGGGGCTTGAATTCTTTCCTGAGTTCAAAATTCCATCAAGGCTGGTGAAAGGGAAGTTTCCAGAGATTGAATTTGAGCACCCTGATTGTGTTCTTGTTGTTTTCCCAAATGGGGTTGGTGAATTTGATGTGAATTACAAGGAATTGAGTTTGGCTCTATCGGAGTTTTTGAAATTGGAGTGGAAAGGGAAGCCTAATTTGCTTAGTAAAGAGCATGTGTGTTGGGATATTATATATAGAACAGCTGAGGCTGCGAAGAAGCCATTAATGGCAAGAAATAAATTCATGGTTGAACCATTTCAGAGCAGCGGACGATTGAGTGAGCAGTCATATAAGGGTTTTACGCTTAGGGAAGTTGTTAGGAAGCGAAGGAGTGCAGTGGATATGGATGGAGTTACTGTAATGGGGAGAGGAACATTTTATCAGATTATGTTGCATTGTCTTTCTTCGGGTTCTCGAGCTCGTGAGAAACAGAGGAAACAAATGGCATTGCCATTTCGAGCTCTGTCTTGGGATTCTGAGGTCCATGCTGCTTTATTTGTTCATAGGGTCGAAGGGTTGTCAATGGGTTTGTACTTCTTGGTGAGGAATGAGGACCATTTTGATGATCTCAAGAGGGCTACAAGGTTTGAGTTTAAGTGGAAGAAACCAGAAGGTTGCCCTGATGATCTCCCTCTGTTTGAACTTGCTAGAGGTGATTATAGGCAACTTGCTAAAAAGCTTTCTTGCCATCAGGTATGTCGATTCTTACGAGTTTTTAGCTTCTTGAGCTTCTTTAGACTGATTTATGTTGCGCGGAAAATGGGTATGCTTATAGCAAAGGTATACATGTGTTTCTAGGGGTCAAATAATGCAGTCTCCAAATCTTAACAAGGTTATGAAATGAATTCTCAAGATGCTCACATTTTCTTTTCTCATGCTGTAGTTTAAACCTAAGCTTATGTAGCATTATGATTTTAGTGTGCACACTAATGCATTAATTCAAGTTGGCATGATGCATAGGAACATTCCAACTATCCCAGGAACCCAACTAGCACAGACACGGATATGCGACAGGAAATTGACACACCTACACATTAATTTCAGAAGTTCAATATATGAATAGTTTGTTCAAAGTTTTTTTTTAACGTGATTTAATCGTTTTATATACTGCTTTAATGGTTCTTCCTTATAATTATTTTTTTATTATGAAAAAAATATGATTGTAGTTAGATAGCATAAAAATATTTGTGATTTGTACGATTGAAGTTATCTCATTTTTTTTTTATTTGTATTTGGTCTAGCCAAAAAAAAATTATAATTTGATTTTTTAATATGATTGAAGTTAGATAAATATAAACAGTTACAACCTAACGAATACAAAACAGTTGTAAAATATAGAAATATACATGATGTATTCATCTTATAAATGTTTCAAAATATATTTGGAGTAAATAAGTTGCATTTCGAAGAATACAAAACATCTATGAAACACGGACACCTCTCTGGAGGTGACGTATAGGTGTTCGACACGTGTTGGAGACGGACACGTGCTGGACACGCTCCAGACACGTCTCAGACACGCTGTAGAGAGTCGGACATGCTAGGATACTTGGGACACGTTACGGACACATTGAGGACACGTTGCGGTGGAATACGTTGAGGACACGCTAAGGACACGTTGGGGACACGTTGAGGACTATTTTTTTTAAAAAAAATTATTTTTTTTACTAAAATAGCATACCTAAGGTTGATAAATTTGATAAAATTAAATATTTGATATAAAATAAATATTAAATATTTAAAAATATGACATATAATAAATATATAAAATTATGGTCTTGTTTGGTTTGTGTTTCCCAAAAATTTTTGGGAAAAATTCTCTACAAATAAATTTTCAAAAGTAATCAAACCAAACAAATTTTCCCAAAAAAATTTCCCAAAACTTGTTTGGTTTATAAGTTTTCCAAACAAATCTCTCTCTCATACACATCAAATCAATCACTTTTCCAAAACTCTCTCTCAAAATAATTTTCCAAAACATCTTTTGAAAAAAACCAAACCAAACAACATTTCGTACTTTTTATCTCTAAAACTCATCTCCCAAACTCAAACCAAACATACCCTATATGTTTTGCACGTGTTTCCAATGTGTCATATCCTACATTTTTTACAAATTTGCGTATCCGTGTCGTGTCATGTGTCCATGTTTGTATCCGTACTTCTTAGCAAAACATTGTTACTGTGAAGAGATTCATCATATAGGTCGCCTTTGGAGGGTTCAAGAAGTGACACCGAAGTGTCTGGTATTATGAATTTACATTTCAAATTAAGATTTCAAATTAAGACACGAAGAAGAAGAGTCGAACATGTTCTTTAGGAGCGTCTACAGGGTCGTGTCTGACATGGGTGTCTGACGTGACACATCTCCTCTAGTCCCTGCTTCTTGGCCAAGAATTCTTATGATTTGGAATATGTTCTTCTCTCCCTTCTGAAGGAACCACCTGCTAAGCTTGCACATGTTTGTAAAGTTCAAAACAACTAACAAACTAAAAATGATATAGACAGTGTGTCATGGGTCTTATGTTTCAAATGTAAAAGGTTAATGATCACAAAATGAAGGTGTCCTAGGATTTGACAATTTTAGCAGAACTTTTTGTAGCACTTTGATTTAACTAGCAATGAAAGTAGTTTTTGTATAATGAACTGGCACATCTTCAAAAAAGTCTGGCTAATCTTGTCACAAGTTCCAGGCATTACCACCATAGTCATAGAAGCTAAAATTCCATTAATAGTTTATCCAACCATATCATGAATTGCTTTCAAGTTATATCTGAATCTATAAACCTGGAGTAATTTTTGGAATTCCACATTATTGTATTTTGTACTGTGACTTAATTTCCTAGTTTGATACTTTAGTTTCAACTTTGAAGAAACACCATGCCCTTAGAATATAGTCATGCTAAAGAGGGTGGCATACTTAGTTGAATCCTCAGCTCTTTGCTAAATGCTATTATCTAATGCAGGATATTGCTAGTGACGGCTGCTTCAGTCTAGGGATGGTGGCTCATTTTGAGCCTACCATGCGTTCCAAGGGTTCGTGGATGTATCCTCGGTTATTTTGGGAGACTGGAGTTCTTGGTCAGGTGTTGTACCTCGAATCGCATGCAGTTGGCATATCAGCTACTGGAATCGGTTGCTTCTTTGATGATCCTGGTATGTGTTCCTTTCTTCACCTTGTACCTAAGATTCTAATTTTCTTATTCATCCATTCTTGGCTACTAGTGGTCGTATAAAGTGTTCATATAGACTGGATTTCTAAGTATCAATGCTTCAGCTGAAATTGGAGACAACCTGATTCCTAAGGAGTAATATACATCCATTTAGTTTTATTTTTGGGTTTGTATGCAAAAATTAATATGATTTTTGGATCTTTAGCATTGACGAAGAGCCTTTGTATAGCACTGACGAAGAAATCTTGAAGTAGCATTTCTGTTAATTTGGGGTTGCACACCTTAAATTCCTTGCAGTAAAGGTCTTTATCCATAGAAAAGAATAAAATAAAGAAAGAAAGAGACAACAAAAGAAAAGGAAAAGGATTTTTTGTTTGTTAATGAGGGAAAATATAAAAACGGGATAGATGTAGTGTAGTGAAGAATTAGTGCATCACAGCTGAAGAAATTGTGTGGTTCACAATAATTTCCATGGCAAAGATGATCTTAGAGCTTCACTATATGGAAAGTGTAAGTCTGCCATGAGGTCGCATAATGGTTTTTCTCCATATCCTTATAGTTGGTCTACCTTGGACACAAAATTCTACATGTGCCATGTCATCATCTTCCTCTCTAAGACAGTACCACTGGTAAAAAAAAAAAAAAAGGAGAAAACACCCAAAAAGGATATCACACAAGCCAATTAAGTGGCAGAGACTAAATATAGTAAAATTGGGTCAAAGGAGAAAGTGTGTTGATCTTTGACCAGTGAGTTTGATATGATTTTAATGAGGTTCGATGTAAATTTTGGTTATAAGATCATCATACGGTAGTTAGGCAGTGGGGCACTTCTCTATTCTCTTGCAAGGTTGGACCCAAAATAAGGGACTTATGAATAATAGTTGTATGAGGTTGACCTCATTGTAGCCATTTCCTTTGGTAATGAAAATGTTGCTGGCCTTAATGACTCTTAATGACCTGATCACAAAAATTAGTGAAGCCAGGGACTGTTCCTTGCATTAAAATATGTTCAGTCTTCAGAATTTGAAAACCTCTAGACAAAATCAAAACTTGGAAAGTTAAGAAGCACGGACACAGATACGGATACGGGACACAGCGATTTAAAAAAAATGAGGACACAGACACGGTGGAGACACGGCAATATAATGGGTGTGTTTGGTTTTGAGAGATAAATTTTTAAAAAATATTTTGGAGAGATAGTTTAGAAACTTTTTTGGTTTGTTTGGTTGTATATTTTGGAAATAGTTTTGGAGTATGGAAGTTTGGGATGATTTGATATTTTGTTGTAGTTAAGTAAATGTGTGTGAGAGAAAAAATGATTGAGAATGAGAGAAGAGAGAGAAAAAGTGATTGATCGATGTGTAGGAGAGAGAGTGATTTTGGAATTTTTTTTCCAAAATCACTAAACCAAACAAAATTTTGAAAATTTTTCTCCAAAATTACTCTCCCAAAAACAAACCAAACAAGGCCAATATGTTTTTATATAGTTTTGTTTGCTATCTAGATTAATATTACATCTTCAAACAATCTAATTCTATGTTTTTTTTTTCTTTTTTTTTTTTAAAATTTTTAAATTAATATTTACAGTTTATATATATTTTTTATGGATGATCTATTATGTATTTAAATCTAAGAAAAAAAAATAAAAAAAAATAAACATTTAATATTCATCAAAAACACTAAATAAAATAAGAGAAAATACAACTTGGCATGTCTCTAGTGTCTCTTAGCGAGTCCCCTGGAAATAAATTAATTAAATAAGGGGACATTTCATGTGGTGTGTGGGTCCCATATGTGTCCCTGCCGTGTCCGCGTGTCCCCAAAGTGTCCGTGTGTCTGACACGGATACAAGTGTCAGTGCTTTATAGTTGGAAAGTAAATTTCCTGAAGCAAAATGGAAATGGGAGCCACTCCCAAATCCTAAAAACCCATGCTCACTAGCATCATGTCAAATACTACCCGAGTTTCACTGTTGTAGAATTTAGAATTTTCATAATAGGCAACTAGCTTTGTTCCCTTACATGCTGGAAGCATGTGAACAGTGATTTAGAGTTAGCTAGATAGTCCATCCAAAACGAAAATGAAAAGGAAAAATAAAATAAAATAAGTAAAAAGAAGAAAGAGACTATGGAGATGATAGCATATCGTTTGAAATTATGTATTGTCCTTGAAATAGAATGGCATAAAAGAATTCATGTAGCTGAGTTGGAACAAAGCTTTGTTGGATTGAGTGGGCATGATACCTTCTTATAAATTGCAGAAGTTACTATTTTGTTTCTTGTACTCTATCACTAATTTTCTACTTGAGAAGGAATTCCATGCTGAATGAATCCCATTACTAGAATATCACTCCAAGAGATGCAAGTCAGAGTTGTGTTTCATTGAGGTGCAAGTAAGAGTTGTATCTCATGTCACAACTTTCACTTGCATTGGACACAAACCCACTTGTACCCTCCATAAAAGTTGCAATTATTTGGAGTTGTTTTCACTGATTTGCAATTCCCCCATAAGTTGAATAACTTTTTTATAAGTCCTGATAAACTTCCTCTTCTTTCTTCCTTGTGAATATATGTGAATAAACCGTCATGGCATTAGTGTCTTGCATTACATGCCAAATGTATGTTCAACTCAATCTCTCTTTTTGGGTCATCAAATCAAATTTTGTTTGTTGTTGTTTGTTTTGCAGTACATGAGGTTCTTGGGTTGAGAGGATCAAACTATCAGAGTCTATATCATTTCACAGTTGGAGGTCCAGTCATAGACACACGGATAATGAGCCTCCCTGCATATCCTGGCCCCAGTGTTGATGCCTGATTGCTGGTCACCCTGTTTCAGATAACATTGGCAGGTTCATGAGTTGTGACGCAAATAAAATCCAAAAAGCTGTGAACATTGCTGACTGCATTTTATCTTGGCAAGCAATACAGCTTCAGTTCAAGGTGTGCCAATGGATAATTACATAATTAAGTTACAATATGATAAGAACTTGGCATCTGCCCAAGTAGTAGGGATTGTTAGGTCCGGTTCACCAGGTGGGGGCAACCCCCGCCACCCCTTGCCATCCCAGTTGGGTATTAGGATATATGAATGATGTTGTAGCATGTATATATACTTAAAAAAAATAAATAAAATTACAGCTTGATAAATACTTTCATAGAACATTCAAGATTTTTTGATATATACTAGGAATTTTATACATTTTCAAATAATAAAATTTGATATGGTTGTTTGGGATAAAAATGACTCACTGTATTTAGGAGAAAGAAAAAAGTGGCAGAAGTGAAAGTGTTTTGGTTGGTGGCCATGACAGTAATGATGGTTGTGGCCATGACAGTGGTGGTGGTGGATGTGACATTGATGATGGTAATGTGGTAGCATTTGTAAACAATATTTTTTTTTAAATGAATTTATTTTGTCTAGCTAAACTTTTGTTTTTTGTTAATCATAAAAAATATTTTCTGTTGATTTTTATTTTTTTTATTGTGCAAAAAAAAAGCGAAAAAGCATTATCTGCCAAAAAAAAAAAGAAAAAAACCAGTGTTAATGGTAAAAAGAGCATGTTTGGTATAGTTTTTATTTTCCGGAAAACATGAAAAAATATGTTTGGTGAACAGTTTTTGAAAATTGTTTCATGAAAGGACCCGCTTTTCATTAGATAAACACAATGAAAAACAAAACCAGACCTTTCTGACTCCAAGACTCTAAATGGGGCATCAAAAAACTTTTAAAACAGCTTACAAAATGTCAAATTTACAGAGCAGTAAGCTTTACAAATGCAAAATGTGATCACTAGTTCTGAAGTTCAAAGCTTTCATGAAGAACTATTGTGAAAAACAAAAAACAAAAAACACAAAAGCAAAAACAAAATAATTGATTGCACCAGATCTGGGTACGATGGAAGAACAAATCTGCACTGTGTTGGCTGTGTTGCAACTACAGAAGTTCAAATCAACACCGGCGACATAAATCATTCAGCACCATGACTCATTCTACCCAACAATTCAACAACTCCAATCCAATCCATGTAGTTGCTTCAAAAGTTTTTCTTTTTCCAACAATCAAGATTTCTTCCCAAGTTTCTCTGCTGGAAGTGTAAAATCAATGATGGTTGTTAACCCAACATATCTGTCGTTGGTTTTGACTTCAGATATATTCTAGATTTATCTAGATGACACCAGCATTTGCTCCTCATTGACTAACAACACCGGTATCAAAATTCCGATGTAGGCTGGTGAAACTTTGTGCTTTCTCAACCTTCAAGTGAACAAAGATTCTCTTTGAATAACTACCTCTGAAGCTACATACCAGGGATAGAAACTATTCCGTTGCACAAGGTTGAATTGCCATTAAGTATAGCATGAGGAAAAGACCTTTAGACTTTCTCTCTACAATATCAATCACCAAACTTAACGAAGTAGCAAAAATCATAAAAGAGAAGCAAGGTCCACAGATGGTTGGGAAGTAGTAAGTTCTACCACTGCTGGTCCCAATCATACTCAAAAGAAGAAATTGATCTTGGCCATTTCATTAGATAGGTTCTTACTAACAACATATGTGGGCCGAAGTCCTGCTTCTGCCTCTAGGTTTGCTTCAATCACATCATCCTAAAAGGAGGCCTAGCCTTGGAACTTCGACTGTCCTTTTTACGTTCCTTTTGTGTATGGAAAACATAAAAGCCGTCTTCTCATTGCCTCCTCTGAATCATTTTAGTCCTTTCATCGTGTTTGTTGGCTTCCTACTTGTACCATGTCACTCCCCACAAAATGTTAAAAGAATATAGGGAAGATATCTATCTCAAAATCAAGGTGGTTGCTTAAACCAAAGATGTTTTCCATTCCATACTTAAATGCATCCAAGAAAAGACCGAGGGAGAGACCAGCCTTCCAATAATTAAACATGGTTATCAAGCTCCGAACCTTGGTGAATAAAGGAAGAGAAGCTCTATACATGAGAGATCCAATCCCTTCCACAATGGCTACGGATAAAGCAGCACCTAGAATGTCCCAGTCGCCGGTTTGCCCTAGGACAGTTACGAAGGCAGTTGCACAATAAAAACCCACCAAGAAAAAGAAAAATTTCATTGGAAGGTTCTTTCTTATCTCCTTAATTCTTGAGCTCAATTTGATTTGAATGTCTTCGACGGCCCGGATAAGTCGGGTCCCACTTCTGGTATTGTTTGTGGGAGAAGTATCATCCAATCCACCACCATCTGCACTGCTCCTAACAGACCAAGCCAACCTCCTATGCAATTTGAATAGAAATATCAGAACATGAGCATAGCATTTTTAATCATTTTTTCCCAAGTCCACCACATAATCAAGGCAGTGTTACTAGAAAAAGTTAACACCCTAGCTATATCTTAGAATGTTTATTCTCAAACATGGTATACTTTGATAAATAAATAAAAACAGTGAATTTAGCAATCCCAAATTTTTTCTATGTATTTCCTCAAAAAAATTTCTTAAAAGGGAAAAATAATCAAATGTAGTTAACTAAAATCTAGAGAGTGGAGTGTCGGAAGGAAAAATGTAACCAAAAAAAAAAAGAAAGAAAAGAAGAAGATTGTATTGCTTGTAGAACAGTGTTTTACATAATTAATTTGAAAAATAATGAACTATATATTTTATTGAATGTCTAATTATTAAGAGAATAGTGCTCTCAAATTTAGAAGTAACTTAAATTCTAATAGTGTGAGCCACACAAACCTACTCTATTGTACAACATTTTAGTATGTTCCCATTCCAGTTCTTCATACTGGAATGATTCACTTTCCCAGTAACATAGCACTACTAAATATCAAGCATGACAATATCATCTTACAACACATCGTGGAGCACTATTGCTCTTGCGCTCATAAAACCAAATATAGAAAATTTCTCAGTTAGGAATAAAATAGAGATATCAGATTAACTGTGACTTACTTGGACTTGTTGAGCAAAGAAATGTTGGCTATGCGAACAAAACAAAGGCGAGAATAGAGCCTCTTGCCAAAAGCAAAAGCAGTTTTGTGAATGCAAACCACAAGGCCGCTAGGGGGAAATCTAGCTCTTGAATGTTCGGATGATGCAAGCTTAGCATTCGTCAAATAGCCAGGTGATGGCAATTTAGTTGACATCACCATGTAAGATTCTGAACAAGAAAAACTGTAACATTATAGAAGAACTAGTGAGAGGTATTGAGAAAGAAACAATATAGAAGACAACAAGAAGATGATTGAATGAGGATGTCCTAACATGATTGAAAAGAAACTCATCGATGTTTACATGATTTGATCAATTCGATTAGGCACTTGCCATCTATTTTCATTGTTCAACACTTTGACAATACCAAAAAATCATTGTTCAAACTAACAAACAGAATGCAGTTCCTTCAAAAGGTAGTGAAGTCACCTATGAATCTAATAAATTGAAATCCCATAAATAAATAAATAAATTGACTAGTCTGTATAGAGTTAATTTTGATTTGTTTTGTTTTTTTGTTTTTGTATTTTTTTTTTGGGGGGAGGGGGGTTGTTGTAGTAATTTTACATTTATCAAATATATACCTCCCTCGTCCTCAAGTGAAAGTAAAAGCAAAATGGGAAAAAAAAAAAAATGTGACATTTTATATGAGGAATTACAACAGAGAATTGACATAGAAATTGAAGGGAAAACAAAGAAGAGCAAAGAAACAGTATCGAGTGCACTAAAGGCTTCTACACCAAGCTAAGGTTAATTGAACCAAGCGGCTTAGTTTGCTTCCTATATTCAGAAAATGCTAAGATTGTTCGAATTGATTGTTTCTTGGACTAACACCAATATGAGTAAATTGTCTTACAAATAGTACAAACACAATGCATAACCTACAATTTTAAATAGTTACCAAAACTTCTTAAACCAAAAAAAAAAAACCCACAAATTATTTATTAAAAAAAAAAAAAAAAACTATCAACTAATGTTTCTCTTTATGATAATTCTGCGTGTTCAGTATGTATCGATACATCCGTTTGATTTAAATTTAGTATTACATAACAAGCAAAATGTTTTGGATATTTCAATCTATGTGTTGGTTCTATCTAATATTTAGGAAAACTACATTTCAATAGTAAGTTTTGAAAACTCAATCTAGCATCATATTGAAGCATAAAATGGTTAATCTGAACACATACTTACCCACACTTTAATGAAGTATTAAAAATGACTATACACTCGCCCTCTCAAACTTCACAAAAATCTCATTAGCTCCACGCTATTTTGAGTATTTATAACAGAACTTAACAAATTCACCAAACAAATTCATTTAAATTTTACTTCGACTCTTCTAAAATCTAAATACTTTACTTTCCCTCTTGCACAATATCTGGCAAAATAGTGAAATCATCTAGAAAAAGAAAAGTAATTCTGACCCTCCAAAAAAAAACCTTTATTTGTCATTAAAAAACACATGACAAACAAAATATTATGGATAATCATATCAAATCCAATCGAATCTTCAAAAAAAAATAAAAATAAAGAAGGCAAAATGGGTAATCAATCAAGTATTGTTTTCATGTAGTTGCCAAGCATCTCTATATAATGATAGAACAATCCAAGTTCTGTAAACTGGGTATAACCAAATATTTAACATAACAATCAAGAATTGTGTTCCCTATCAAATAGTTCTTTTGCAATACAAAACTTTGTGAGCACTGTAGTGAGTTTGGACTTTGGTATGCATTTTTTTTTGTGCAATAATTTCATGAAACATATAAATTAAATCAGAAAACAAGCGCATACATACCCATAGAGAGAGAAAGTTTGACCCAGAGAGAGAGAGAGAGAGAGAGAGAGAGAGATTGGATTTGACTTACAAATAGGCAGCTTCAAATAGTTATTCTTTTTGAGAAATTAATGGGTAATTAATTCTGTTTGTCGATGAGAACCAGAGAGCCAAATTTCCTCTTCGGCTTTGATAAGGAAGTGTTTGGGGATTAGACTTTCTGGGGCCATCTTGGGCCCTACCCAATACCTTTTGCGGTTCATGTGAAAAATGGGTCTTATAAATGGATCGGATTCAACCTAAACCTAATTTAATTAATTAATTAGTTTTTTTTTTTTTTGGTACATCAGAAGAGGAAATAAAAAACAAACAAACTAACTAACGAAAAGAAAAATTAGGTGCCCCAGAACGCTGTCTAAGATAACTCTGGTGATCATATCCTCCACTAGTTGGCCTCGGATTTCTTCCGGAGGATCATCCATTACAACCAGTACCTGTGCCTATTTTTGCTAATCCGTCAGCACTCTTGTTGCCCTTCCTCATGACATGTTGAATCGTCTAGCAATATCTTTACATAAGGAACTTGGAATCCTCCACTAGGCTTCTCAAGATGTGATTTCAATATTCTCCTTTTGCATATTAATGGCATACTAAGAGTCCGTTTCGATGATAAGATCCTTACAGCCATTCTCGAAAGCAATCGTCAAGCCCTTGTAGATAGCTCAGATCTCGGCCTCAATGCTGGTACAATTTGTGAGCTTATCGAAATATCCACAAAGCCAGATGCCTTTCTCATCACGGATTAGCCCGCGAATACACCATCACCTGGGTCTCCCTTGAAGCTTCCATCTGTGTTCATCTTCAATTTACTTGTAAGAGGAAGAGACCAACTAATTAACGCATTAGCCAAATTATTCACAATGAACATTTTAAAAGCTCATTTGATATCAATTGCATATCTATGAATGAGGTGGATACTTTGCTGCCAAAACAATTCAACATTTTCAAAAATCATAAGGTTTAGGTTTTTTGATATGCCATAATGAAGTATTGTGGTAGCCGAATTTATGTAGCCCTTTATTATCAGGCCCAACTTGTGGATCGGCCCATTGGGCCTCACCCTTCGGACTCATGAGGCCGAATACTATCTTCAAACAAAAGCCGAGTATTCCTATACAAGTCGGCATCGTGTCTAGATGCCGATTCCTAGCCATGAAGCACTACGATCCAAATGAGCTACGGAGTAGAGGATAAAACCTAAGGGGAAAAGGTCTATAAAATGGGGAGGGAGATCCAATGATTAGGTATGTTCAAAAAACTAATTCTCACCCTAAAAAAGGAAGAAGACTAACTAAACCGTTGGAGTGCTAATTCTGTCACCCTTGACCAAATTTGTTCTTGTTTCAAGTGCCTACAAGAAGACTGTTCTAAGACTTGCCTGGATCCAAGAGTATTCCAAATCCGTCACTCCACAAGTATTTTTCCAGATTGCCGTAATGAAGTAACAAAAAGAGCAGGTTCAATGGAAGGATAAGACTTTGTAGACACCCCATTTTTGACCGACCTTAAGACTCAGACGTCATCGTTTGAGCACTCGATGATTGTGCTTGTTTGTGCTTGTTTCGAGTTTCCGGAGTTTCCGGTTAAGTGCCTCGCCTCCGGGCCTCTGAATTCTTTGTGTTTTGGCTCGATTTGTGGACCAAGCCTTGTTGACCTTGCCTGGAGGGAGAGAGAGGTCTGTAGACCATTTTTTGTGGTCGTAGACCACTTTTCCCTCTTGTAGACTAGTTTTTGGTTTCCTGAGTCTTCGATCGCGCGCCTTGTCTCGGGACCGCTTAACGTTCTCTCATTGGCCTGGTTTTCGGACCATGCATTGTTGCCTTTGCCTAGAGGGACACAGAGGTCTTGTAGACCACTTTTCCCTCTCATAGACCACTTTTTGTGCTCGTAGACTAGTTTTCAAGGCTTCCAGCTGCACGCCTTGTCCCGCAGGCTTTTGTCTTTCATCCTTTTAGGTTTGTTTTTGGCACAAACCTTGTTTTCCTTGATTGGAGGGTGGAATAAGGGTTGTAGACCAGTTTCTCTCCCTGAAAACCACTTTTTCCTGCCTGCCAGCCAGTTTTCTAGTCGGCCAACTGGTCTTGGTGGTCTTTGGATCACCAAAAGTGGTCGGCAACCATGCCACCACCTTGCTTTCTTGGTGCAGACCACTTTCCCCCCCTTGTCGACCACTTGGTCTCCTTGCAGACCACTTTCACTGGTCGGCCGACCAGTGCAAGTAGCTGGCCAACCACTTCAACTAGTCGGCAGCTTTACTGCAGTTTCCTGCAGATATTTTCTTGCCAGCTGTGCTAGTTGTTGGGCACAAAAAACATCCTCCATACACATGTATGGAGGGATTGCTTGGAGCTCCTAGCTTGTTCGAAAAGCTTGAACTTTGATCTTCTATAAGAGGGAACCTCCTCCCTCTTGCAATAGGTTGAGAATTTGGCCTTGGAGCTATGCATATATCATCTATCTCTATATCGCTCCTTTCTTTTGTTTTGGTGCTTTAAAGTGTCATTTCTTCACACTTTTACACACAAACACATAGTGAAACACCATACTCTTGGAGCTAAGGCACCTTGAAGCTGGTTTTGGAGTTTTTGGATTGTTTTTAATCAAAAAAGGGTGCTGGAGTTGCTGCTTTGAAGTTGTTCTTCAAGGGTGAGTTTCTAACCCCTTAAATCTTTGTTTTTGATTAAGCTTTTGGCCCTATTTGCATGATGTTTTAGGCTTAACTTTCAACTGCAAAAAGTTCTAATTTTAAGTGCTTGAAATGTTTGTTTATGGCTTTGTTGGTGTTGGGGGTGGTCTACCCCCTCTTGTGCCTTGTTTGGCATTGTTTTGTGCTATCCTTTTAAGCTATTGGGATCACCTCTTTTTGGCCTTCTCACCACTGAAACTCAGAGGAATTTCAGTGGTGGAAAGTGTGTTTTGAGGTCCCAAATAGAAGGGGGTCATCCCCTCTCCTTGTGTCTTGTGTGTTTGCCTTGTTGGCTCATCAAAGTAGCATGTTTGTCAAGCATGTTTTGGCTCTATCTCAGCATGTGTTTTGGTGTTGTTTTACCATTCCTTAGCTCTGTTTTGGGTTAGTTTGGTAGCCCCTTGCATGCTCCTTGCACTTGTAGTGCAAATCCTCTTTACTAGCCTAACATGCATCATACTTTAGACCATCATTCTAGCATATTTTTGGCTCTACTCTAGTAAGCTTTTCCTCATGTTTTACCATGCTTGAGGTCTGATTTAAGTGTTTTGGGTCATGCATGCCTTGCTTTGTATAGCCATAGTGCATTCTAGTTCACTAGCTTTGAGTTTCTAAGTCACTAGCATGCATTGCTTGGGCTAGTTGCATGATTTGACATCATTTGTTATGTGATTTCAGAACATGTTTCATTGCCATGCCCTCACATGTGTCACGCTTTCAATGCTTTGGAGGGTTGGTGCTTTATGCCTTAAGTATGAGCCAATATGTATACCATCTTGCCTAGCTTTTTGGGCCACCATTTCAGTGTGTTTTTGGACTTATTTTGTCATGATACAATTCTGATTTTTGTTGGTGAAGTCATCTCATACTTGGATTTGGTAGGTGTAGTGTAATCCTCCTTGTTGGCCTTACATGCTTATTGTTTTGGCTCTTCATGCTAGCTTGTTTTGGCTACACTCCGTGCATGTTTTAGCCTTGATTTGACATGCTCTAGAACTGTTTTGGGTTGTATTGGCCATATGCTTCATGTATTGCATAGCTGTAGTGCAATTGGCCTTATCAGCCTTGTGCCTTAGGCCGTCTAGCATGCTATGCTTGTGTTGTTTGGATGATTTGACATCATTTAATACTTGATTTCAGAGCATATAGTGCTGTCACATTTCCATGTTTATCACCTCTTCATCATGATTGAGAGTTGTGCTCTTATGCCTAATTGATGGGCCAATGCATGAGCTTGTATTTTCTTGCTTTCAATGCTAGCATTTCAGCACATTTTGGCCACTGTTTTGGACACGATTGAGGTCTGTCCATATTCGGTTTAAGTCCATTGAGCATGTTGTTTGAATGTTGTTGTTTGGATTGTGTTTGCATGCTTGTTACACTGCATTTTGTTTGCATGCATTGCATTGTGTTTGGCATGCTTGAGTTGCATTGCATGTGTTTGGAATGGACATCAATCCAAACACGAGAAACGAGGGGCGTTTCATACTTGAAGTGATAAAACATGCCTCATTTCTCAGTCGCCGACGTGACACTCTTGATCATGCATGATAGAGTTTAAGACCCTTATGTGTTATTTGTGCATTCATTGACATTGAATTGGGCAAACTTGGCTTCTCGGCCATCTTGCATTGCGATGCTCGGTTGGTGGCCCGAGAGTCGAGAACCGCACTCCCTTGAGCTTAAGAAATGATAGGGAGGGTGGTTGTGCACACATACCTTGCAAATACATTGATGTGCCCCTTCTTATTCTTTGTTGCAGCAAAATGGAGTTGTGTAGAATTTTCTGGTCGGCAGACCAATAAAAGTGGCTGGCCGACCACTTTTTCTGGTCTGCAGCAAATGTAAGTGGTCTACAGGTGGTCTACAACACCAATAAGTGGTCGGCAGCCTTCTTGGAGGTTCCCATGATGGAGTAGAAGCTATCTGGAGCTTTGTACAGTGTTCTGAGATCAAATGCAAATAGAGGCAAATTGGGGCATCGTAATGGATTTCCGAACGAGGCGACCGAGCATGCATGCGCTTCTCGCCCCAAGGCCCCCTTTTACTGCTTTGCTTAGCTAGCTTATACTTTGGTTTTGTACTTAATTAGTTAGCGTGTTTAGCTAATTGATTTATGCTGTAATGTTTAATTAGCTAGTGTAGTTAGCTAATTAGCTTGTTTTGTAATAATTAGTTAACTTGTTAGTTAATTAGTTTCGTTTTGTAATAATTAGTTTAATTAACTTAGATTAGCTAGTTAGTTTATTATTCGGACCCTCCGTCGAGAGGGCATAATTTTGTAATAAGTGTGCGTATGTGTGATGCATGTCTTCCAACCCTCATTTCTTTCTCCATTTTACTTAACCGCTTTCGATGGTTAGTTTTAGAGCATATTTCAATTAGCATCCTTATGTTTGCATACGTGCATCCATTCATCTGTCTTGCATGCACCGGGCTCGGCGTATCATACAAACTGCATTGTATTTTAATACCAATTTGAATACATG